TGATACTAGGAATCAAACCCAGGACTTTGTGAGCTAAGCAAGTATCCTATCAACTGAGCTATAGTCTCAGTCCCTTAAAAGGTTCTCTTAGCCACTCAGATTACCCACCTCTGTATAACTGGGTGAGAAAGGAAAGGACCATAGATGACCTCGGAGTTGCCTGAAGATAATATGTGATAAATGACAAAGTCAGAAGCCAAGGAGCCAGGGTTCCTTGTGGACTTCAACCCATTCTTCTTTCCTTAGACCAACATTGGCTTTCTTTGCAGTAGCTCTGGTCTGGGCATGGGGTGCAGCCCAGCTCAAGGGTTTCTAGCACACTCAGCTGGCAGGAAGTTCTCACCCTGCCTCTTGCCACACCCACGGGGCCACTTCTGGCCCAATCATTCTTCCAGCAAGGGATGCGAAGCTCAGCCTGGCCCAAGCACAAAACGGGGAGTCAGAAAGTCCAGGATCCTGGCTAGGCATGGTGAGACACATTTGTAATCTCAACCATCGGGTGGGAGAACCAGGAGGATTCTGAGTTCACAGACAGCCAGGGTTACATCGCAAGAACTTGTCTCACAAGAAGGGGCTAGATAGAGGCAGAGAGAAGAAGTAGGTAGTCCCAGCAGGGCCACTTGTAGCCCGGGTTGTTCCTGTTATTTCGTTAGGTTGACAAAAAAAACAAAACAAAACAAAAAACAACCAAACAAACAAACAAACAAAAAAAACCACAAACAGCCTGGAGTCCCAACTACCAAAAAGGCTAAGGCTAAGGGCTAAGGGATGACCTGAGCCCAGGGGTTCAGAGCCACCTTGGGCAATCACAGGCCTGTTCAAAGCAAAACAAACAGGTAGCAGAAATCCTGCGAAAGTAAGAAAGAGCATGAAGTGGCAGGCGGGGAGTAGGCTGTGGTCCTCACACCATAGCATGGTTTCTCAGCAGTGCATCCAGCATGGGGTTCAGACTGCCTAGGACTCAGTGAAGGTGTATAGTGTAGATCTGGGCAGGTAATTTTCTTCATTTTTTTCCCCTCTTTACTTCCTTCTTCCTTCATTGCTCTGTAGTCAGACCTTCTTTTGGGCCACCAGCTCATAAATAACGACACAGAGACTTCTTATTAATTATGAATGCTTGGCTCTAGCTTAGGCCCATTCCCAACTAGATCTTATCATTTAAATTAACCTGCTTCTATTAATCTACATTCTACCGTGTGGTATTTTTTAAACCTCTCTTTCGTTCTGTATGCACGACTTGCTCTGAATCTCATTGGTATCTCTGCCTTTCTTCATCCCAACATCCCTTTCTCTGTCTGGATGTCCTGCCTATTCTCTCCTGCTTAGCTATTGGCCATTCAGCTCTTTATTAAACCAATCAGATAACTTAGGTAGAGACACATCTTTACAGGGTACAGAAAAGATTATCCCATAATTCTCCCCTCCCTACCTCCCTCCTTCCCTCCCTCCCTCCCTCCCTCCTTCCCTCCTTTCCTCTGTCCCTCCCTCCCTTCCTTCTTTATTTCATTATAAGACAAGGTCTCAATGTGTAGCCTTGGCTGACTTAGGACTTGATATGCAGACAAGGTTTGCCTTAAATTCAAAGAGATCAACATCCACTAGCCTTTGTCTCCCGAGTATTGACATCAAAAGTGTGCTATACCAAGCTGGGCTGAGCAAGTTAAGTTGATCTCCCTGTGATACAGGAACACAGGGCCAACTTCCACACCCTGGGAACGAGAAAGTTAAGGAAAGGAATCCATGTTAAGGGTCCCAGTGTACCTGGTTATGGATGCTCTACACCAAAGACCCATGAACAGTTAGCTGCTGTTGCTGCTCCTGGCACTGCCATTGATCCCACAGGCTCTACCCAATCAATGTATGGTGCAGGCATCAAAGACACAGATGCTGGTTTGAACAAGAGCCTAGCTGGGTTGGGGGAGGGTGATGGAAGACATGAGGGTGAAAGAAGAGAACCATATTTAGGCCCCTGGAAATATTAATACAGATATGCCAAGACCTTTTATTAGAGCTGTGCTTGATAAAGAATCACCAATCTAAAACATCATAAGATAAAGGGCTGGGAGACACTCAGTTGGAAAGCTGCTTGCCCACCAGGCAGAAGGACCTGAGTTCGATTCCCCCAGAGTCTATATTAAAAAAAAATTCACACATGATGATGTGCTTTTGTAATCCCAGGGCTCAAGCTCCAGGGCATCCAACACCTCTGGTCTCCACAGGCATCTGCACTTACATGCACATACCCACATGCAGGCACACACCCCTACACATATGTTGCTAAAATTCCTTCCCAGGGATTAGATGTAAGCGGTGTCAACCCATTCTCCCAAGGTCTCAATGACAAATCAAGGCACAATCCCAGAAAGTTCACTCTAGGGAATCAATGAGTTTATTGGGCTTCCTTAGAGAGCATAGGTAGGGGACCCCTCTATTTGAGGTGCAAACACCAAATACACTTGGGATGACCTTTTCAAGAGGGACACAGCTGAACTTCTCCTGATGACAGTTGCTTGGCTTAAAGGACATTTAATCATAATAACATAATTTAAAATAATAAAAAACTTTTGGGGGTCCTTTTTGTTTTGTTTTGTTTTGTTTTTCGAGATAGGGGTTCTCTGTATAGCATTGGAGCCTGTCCTGGAACTCACTCTGTAGACCAGGCTGGCCTCAAACTCACAGAGATCCGCCTGCCTCTGTCTCCCGAGTGCTGGGATTAAAGGCGTGCGCCACCATCACCCAGCTTTTTTTGGGTCTTTTTAAGACAGGGTTTCTCTGTGTAGTCCTGTCTGTTCCAGAACTCACTCTATAGACCAGGCTGGCCTCATACTCAGAGATCAACCGGCCTCTACCTCCCAAGTGCTGGTATTAAGGGCATGTGCTACCACACCTGCCTAATAAGAATCAGTCTTAAAAAATAAAAATTGTAAGGTGGAAAGAAATAGAGGAAAACATCTAAGTCGATCTCTGGCCTTGACATATGCAACACAGGTACACACACACACACACACACACACACACACACACACACACACATACACACGCATTCTAAAATGAAAAACACATTATACACACACCACACCATATGTACTGAGCATCCTAGCTTTGCGCTATGGAACACTGGGGTGTGTTTATTGTTTCCTCTGGCGGGCCTGACTGTGAGGATATGAGATCACCTGTCACTAGTCCAGGAAAGGAGAAATCCAGTTTCCAGCTGACATTATCACATTTACACCACAGTGAAGTAGAAACATGTAAGTCCCAGAACCTCCTAAAACAGTCATGCACCATGTACAGAAGCACACTACACCTGTAGTAGCTCCTCAGGGGGTCAAAGGCTGGCAAAACTTCAAATGATAAATATCCCTTGTTTGATGTCCAGTAATAATGAGCTTGTACCTGGGGTGAGTCACCTACACCTCGTTCAGTCTTGCGTCTTCTACACAGCCCCATAGCTCCAGAGACACACTCAACCATCCTGAACATTCATTCATTCAACAAACATTACCTGGATGACTGTCAACCCACTGATTCATGAGTTGGAAAAAGATAAAATATCATTTAGTAGCTAGAAAGGCTCAGTCAGGTAACTTAATGTCACCAGACACACGCTTTCTAAGCTCCTGTCCACTGATCTTGAGAGAACTATACTTCGGTGAACTCTTTGTTTAATTAATGAGGGCCATTCAGACTTCTATTTGCAGTTTTAGTTAAAAGTCCTTGGGTCTTTACAAACCAGGACCGGCTTTTCTGATTGGGCTAACTAGTTTGCCAGTTAAAAGCACTGTGTGTCTTTAAAAAGGGGGCGGCCTCCTGTCAAACGGGCCCCAAAACATAGGCTGAAGGCTCGCGGAGTCCCACCCACTTTCTGTGACGTCCTGTGTCCCGGCTTCTGATTGCGAGCTGCCGACGTCAATCGCGCGGAGTACGTCTTGCTGGGACACAGAGGAGGTCTGCGCTCTGGTCTAAGGGGCGGTCGGGTGTCTTCTGCGCTCGCCCCACACCCGCGAGGCCCGTGCCGCCCGACCCAACGGCGGAGCCGCCCAGCGCCTCCCGTGGCACCCGCTCGCTCCTTGCTGGGGCGGGACGTGGCCCTACGGCTCCGGACACTATGGTCAGTGGTCGCGGGACGGGGAGGGGGTGCCGCCGGGGCTCATGTGCGTGCGCGCGGTCGGGCGCGAGGCTCAGTCCTTTCCATCCTCGGGATGCTGAGCCCCAGGGTGTGCCGCGCTGTCCGATTGGGAACCGGCAGCTGGGAGATCCAGCCAGGACCGAGCCCTGCTTCCTCGTGTCCACTCCAGGTGGACCCCAGGAGCCTCCTCAAAGTCCCGAGGCATGTGCCTGGCCGGGGCTGGATGGAGCGCCTCCGGGGTTGTGGTTCCCACTCTTTGTTAAGTAGCACTCCTGTGGACAGCTTGCCGCCCACCCATCGCGGACTTAGCCACTACAGACCGGCTCTGTCCCACCAATCATTCCCTGGGACAAGCTATCTGGCCACCGGGGCAAGCCTTAGGGCCACTTGGACATAAGCTCAGTCTCCTGATGGCAACAGGTCTGTGGAGTCAGAACCATATGAAGGGGCGGCCCGCGGGTGTAAGGAATGAGTTAGGGGTCCAGGCAAAGTGATCTAAAAGAACCTACCATCTGAGCAGAGCAGGCCCAGGAGACTCTGAGCTGGTCAAATCTGGTAAACCAAGGACATGGGCAGGTGGGAAACTGAGGCCAGACAGGGAGAAAATTGGTAGGGATTGTGATGATGCCACAGCTGGGACTTGAACCCAAGCCTCCTGTCCAGTGTTCTGTGTTGCATCAGCCCAGCCTCTTGGTTGCCATGGGGTCAGGCCTCCTACAGGGGAGTGGCTGTGGTGGCTGCCCATTTCAACTTCCAGCAAAGGGCTCTAGGGAGCCTGACCATTATATTAGTGCTACTGGTCAGCTTGGGTTCGCACTGCTCTGGGCTCAAGGGTCTCACCTGATCTTTTGGTTTGGTTTGGTGATGCTGGGTTTTGAATCCAGGGCTTCATGCATGTTAGATAAGGCTCGACTTCTGAACGACGCCCCAATCCCTCACTTCCAGTCTGGGCTGCCCCAGTGAATGCTATGAGGACCCTGTTTTGGTTTTGTTTGCTTTGGGTGTGTGTGTGTGTGTGTGTGTGTGTGTGTGTGTGTGTGTGTGTGTG